CAACAACGCGCCAATTCCGTTCCGCTTCGCATACTTCTGTCACGCACTCCCCGTAAATAGATATCCGCGAAATTCGCCCGCACTGAAATAACAGTTTGGCGTGTTGGATAATAAATAACTTATTAGACGTTTTGTTGTGTAGTATCGTTGAGTATTTTTATCAGTATTTTTTATTTTGGGTACAAATAAAGTTGTTGTTGTTGTTTTGTTGTGCATGCGTATTACATAAGTTTGTACATTTCCTAGCCTTCCTCTGAAAATCAACAAGAAGAAAACACCTCAATTTGAGTAAAACCATTTGCTAAGTTCTCGAGACAAATATCAGTTAAGTGTTGCTGTAGCGACTGATAAAGCTTTCTTTTGTCTACGGAAGACGGTCGCGATGATAACATGTTCCATACGTGTCAGTAATGGATAAAAGAGGGAAAAAAGTATGGCACATTTACGTAGGACAACCACCTTTGCTACAATGATTACTTTAAGATGACAAGATGATAAAAGTAATTACATTCAAACCATTTTGACCTCATCTGATGACTTTCATAAATTTTCAATGTCGTAGAGGTACTTTCTCCTATTGTCGATTCCTACCTTAAGCATCATCACCATTTTGAATTGGTCTTATGTTTTCAATTATGTCCAGGAATGAACGCAAGTTTTATTTGTTGGTTACCCAAAGAACTTCATATCTTACAGGTTTACATTTACCCCATGTTTGACGCAATTACACGTGGTTTGGTTGTGTTTTGCTTGAGTTTTATCATTGAGGACACAAATAATTAACGCATGGACAGTCAATCCCGAATATATCTCGAAGACGAGACGTAGCGTATGAGTTCAGGGGTGATCGGCCTTCTATAATACACATGAGAAGCATGATTTAGCTATCTGCGTGTGTCCTTCGCCCACTTTCGTTACAAATGATTGAACAATTGAGACCGAGGATTTTAGACTATTACCTTTTGTTAAATTTGCTCACTTGAACAGCGACCAGGCTTACGGAATGACGCATTAATAAAACACGGATTGCAAGTCTTTGGCATGGTCTAGAAAGAAAATTCCACTTGAAAATCGAATTTTTAGGGTGGTCTCTGAAACAACCATTCAGCACCTAACTAAAACTGCTTTTATGAAAGAGTTGCTCTGACAACATATTTTGAAAACAAGTTTTATCACCGAAACCAAGGCAGTAAAACGGTAAATTCGAACCTTCTATAGTTATGTTTCTTGGTCAAAAGGATCTGAAAAAACCCTTTCAAAGAGAAAAATTTTTTCTAGTCAAAATATCGGTGGTCGTCATTCAGGTCACCTTCACTCTCCATATTCTCATCAACCCTCATATTCATCTCTTCAAAATATTCAGTCCAGTCTATAGATTCCAAATCATTTGAGGACTGTCCAGAATTTTTTAACGTAATGGTATCTCTTAGCAGGTCAAATCGTCCAAAACTTTTCACGCTCGTCATTTCTTTGTTCGTCGATGTAGTATCCCGCCCGGA